CAAAAGTGCCTAAAATGGTCGTTCAGATGTCTCTTTCCTTTGTCTTTACTACATACTGATTATCGCTAGCGACAATGCGTCCGCCTATGTTGACAATAGACACGAGCCTCCAAGACAACGCAAAACTGCCCGTTTCCGCCGTTCACTCACAGTGGAGCAGTGGACACTACTGCTATGTATCGATGACAAAGCGTGAGTGTGGCAGCTCGCGCTGCACCCAGCTTCGCATATTGGGTGCGCCCACCCTGTGTCTTGGGGTTTCATTGGCCTCTGACGGCATATAAGGCAGAAATGCGTGTGCTAGTGTTGTTTCTGCCGGTAGTACTTTTCGTCTAAGTCTATAATATTTTTCGTGGTTCCGACCTTTAAGCATTTCGAGCAAATGGTATTTATCAGTGTTCGCAAGTTGCTTATACACGTAAAGTCGGGAGACCTGTCGTATCGTCCGTCAGTGAACGCATCTCGCTGGGTTCCCACATAAACCTTGAAGTACGTTGTGCATTTTTGGGGTTTCAAATGGGAATGGGTAAAGCAAGAACTGCCGCAATTTGAATGCACTCCACGTCTCGTCCAGAATCTTTGTAGATGTCATCTCTCGGATGACAGTGATGCTAAGAAAGTACGAACCCCTAAGTAACGGACAGGTTTTAGGCCAAATTATTGATTTGACTGCTACATTTCAGGCTGTCACGGGTTCTGGAAAATTGCCACACACGTAGAAGATACCTAACCGTTGTGCTGTTTTATTTTAAAGTTTTCTGTGAACCATTCGTCAGGGCTGCCGCATCGGAGTGTTTCCATCGACATGACTTAGAATAGCACTTTGACCACCATTATGCCATACCAGTGTTTCGAACCAGCTCTCAGAAGTAGGTAACACTGATGGTACTGGACAAGACCGGTCTCTTCCACAATTTTTGGTATTTATAATATAGTGGACATGTTTAGCGCAAATTATCGCATGATTGGGGAATTTTAATTTAAGACTACAACCTTGCGATTTATCAGCGGCGGTAGTCTTCCAAGAGCTTGTGATGGAAGCACCTGAAATGGCTGACATGTGCTTGTCACCTGAAACATGCGAGAGAGGCTTGTGGCGGCTTTTACTTGACTAGAACCGCCCCACCAAATACGTCATTCAATGGCACTTGTGTGGGTAAACCCATCTTTGGCATCGACCGTCAATCTGTAAATTGGAAGATTTATAAATATAAGTCCATTGATTGCTGTTTTAGAGGTCAGACGTGCAGTCAAAAATCGATTGCCTATGACTTTGAGTGAGTAGGTAATATCCAAATAGGAAACGACTGTGCTCACTCCAGTGCCGTCAAAGGATAGTTTTACGCACCGAAAACTAATAGCGACTGCTTTGTTGTATCTGTTTCTGCACATCGATTTGTCGCTATCCCCTTGCTATTCGTTTTAGAAACTTCTCCCTTTTTGGCAGTCAATCTTCACATAACACTCCATCTTGATTGCGTTTGAATGTGTAATTTAGCCAATAATAGAACCTTTCTCGCCTCTTGTCTTTCTCCTTCACGAACGTCGGGAACATCGAGAGATTTAAAACGACTCGAGATTTTAGCGTGGGGTCTGGCTTTTGGTCATTGTCCCTCGCCAGGGTAGTGGCCTCGAACGTCGACTCGCGCTTGCACTCGAACATGCCAACACAGCAAACCCCTCTGCGGCACCTTGTAGGCTTTCGCTGTGTATGCGCTTCGATCAGTTTCTTACCACCCGCGACTATGACGAATAGTTTCATCGTGATGTATCCCTTTCTCTCCTGAACGTCTAACAAGGTGCACCCGAGATGCACTTCTTTCGCTTTTTGTCTAGTTCTCATGTGGTAACACTGAAGAGAAAATAGCCAAATTCTACAGGCATATTCAGACTCTACCACCACAGGTCCTGACCCAAATGCAATCAATGGCTCAGATCTCTCCTGCCGATGTACTTTAAACTGAGATGGAGGCTGCACGTTTCCGACCCCACACCGTTTCAGGTAGCCGGCAATGCAGCGAACTAATTCGGGAAGAGGTTCTTGAATACTGCAAGCCAATGGCAATGGTAAAGACACCTCTGGTGAGCCACAAATTAGGGATAAGTTCTTTAAAGAGAGGCACTTAGAAAATTTATTAATAATTTTGCTTGGCATTGTCGGATTATACCTCTGCACACGTGAAGATCTGTGAAAGAGAGAGAGAGTGGTGGAAGGGCAGATGTTTTAACCATCGAACTCTTCACTCCGTTAGTAACTGTGAACGACCAAATAACGTTGCAGATTGTAGCTGTGTTTGAGGAAATGGTTCTTCTATAACTTAAGCTCGTAGATGCACTCTTTTGTCCTCGAACATTCGACACTCGTTTATACCATACGAACTTTGGTACCGAGGCTTGCTAGCATTCTGTTGCCGAAGCTTCATGTCCACGTGGGAAACACGTAAATCAGGAAGTAGTGGCACCTACTTTCTCTAACTCCTCTGACCCTGGTAACACCTGCGACAGTTTGACTCACAGGTGTTTCCTTATGCACAAGGACGTCCAGCTCAGCATGGTCCTTCGAACTCCATCTAACCACCACTGCTTCAACCCTGGTCTTAATCTCCGCTCTGGCAAATGTTTTCTCATCCCTTCACTTGTCTCTCATTTTCTCACACTTAAATAGGCTTTCGTCACTCTCGTGGATTTTTGGATTGTTGATGTCCCTTATTTAATCATGGACTCTGACTTCTTAAATTTTATCTTTTTGTGGACTGTCGACATGCTTTATTACTCGACCTGATAAGCGACCTGTCAGTCCGCGATGTGGGCCCCTATAAAACCTCATGCAACTTATCTTTTCTGGATACACATGTAACTTGTCCTTTTCGGAGCTTCTTCTCCAATACCCCAATGTTAGTAACCCTGATTCTGCAGTTGCGAAGTTAGGCATCACACCCGCACCTTGGGCGCTCATTTGTCATCTCATCCCAAACGAATTGTTCCAGCCCGCCTGTGGGCCATGAAGACATGTCTTCAGCACACAGAGTACCGCATGCTCAGCATGGTGACTGTTTCAGACTTCATGACTTCTCCAGAGTTTTTGTCGGCAAAGTGGTTTTGCTCTGATGGGTGCCTTTCAGTAAAACGTCGATCGCCACCGATGATATTGCCAGAAATGTTGTCACTATCCCACTTGACTTCTTTTAATTCATCCGAATGCTCTTGGGCATTCACAACGCCATCTAGAAGTTCCGGAGTTCTGTTGACCATGTTTCGACTAGGTAGTAATATAAGCACCTGCCGGATCCTTGGCGGTGGCAGGGAGGATGTGTCCAGCGTTCACCAGCCCGAGGAAACCGTTCTGGAGATGCCGCCGAACTAGCCAACAGATTAGTGTGTGCTGATCCCCCACTTCACCTCAGTGTTATTAAGCGCAGTCCTCCCACTATCACCAAATTTTGCACCACGCATTGCGTCTCTCGAGCATACTTTTCTGACTGTTTAATTACTCTTGTTTCTTGAGACCAGCGTCGTTTCCGCGCCGGCCTGCGGCCTGGGGGTACTATGGTGGCCACTTGCACAACGCTTCCTAATCGTTCCCTTTGTTATGCATTTTAGAACTTTGTCCTCGCTCCATCTCGTTTTGAAAGAGGTTAGTTAAACCCAACAACGCATTTCGTTTTGACTGCACCAAACATGTGCAATTAGTGAATAACAGATTCCTCCTCCCATCTTGTCTTTCCTCTAAACGGGCTTCGGTGAGACCAAGAGATGGAATACTCGGAGCCGGGCTGTCGACTATTTGTACTTTTTTTTATCGCCAATTACATTAACATGAGAACTTTGAGGTATTCTGGCTTCATACCTTTGAAAAGATTCATTATGGTGTTTAAGCCAAGACCAAGTGAAAGTTTTCGACAACCATGCACATAAGTAAGCCACATTTAGCTTCGTACTTAGGATGATCAACTCTTTGGCGCAGTCTAACACGTGAGTGCTATCCAATACGTCGGCCAGCAAAACTGCTGAGCGTGGTTTATAACGGTCATAGGGATTTGCAATGCCAAACGTTCTGCCTTGTCTACTGTTTCTCGTTTATTCAGAAGTCGTCTAGGACTTTGTGCCAAAGCGCCTTAACTAAGGACATCTGGTTCAAAAGCTTCGAAGGCTGTGCTTGCCGCGGACGTTTTTGAGACAGATCGGGATTATCCCCCCAGCGATGCCTATAAACAGGCACTTTAAGTAGTCCTGATTTTCTATTCGGTGATAATGCCCTTTGCTAGTTGTATTTTACAGGTGGGATGTAAAAACTACTGAATTACGTTAGGTAAGCAGTTGTACTTGGCTGTCCATTTAGTACCGATTGAGATATGTGAACATCACGCTTGTTCTTTATGGAATAGAGTAAATAAATTATGGAAACTCACGGCTCGATTAGCTTGATCTCACACTGTAATTCTTGTCCTTCTCCTGACTTTTTAATAAAATTCTACTAGGTAGCACCTAATTTCTGATTTTGGATGGCTGTGGCATGTTCAAAATAAGTTATACCGGACGCTTTTATACCATATTCAGACGATTTGTTTTAAATGAACTGTCTCAGTTATATAATCTAAGAGACCTGCTAGTTCCTGCCCTCGCTGCCCAAAATCGGGCGTGTGACTTACCTTCCGCACAAACGTCGGCGATATTTCTGGAGACCTTATATAATGCATTCCCTAGTTAATCCCGTTTGGCTACCTTCATCTACCATCGAACTAATGTGCAAGAAGGTTTGTTACAGTTCTGGCTGCGAATTTCCTCTAGGTAAGAGAAGTCGACGTCTAAGTTCGTCAGAGCGACTTTCGTAATACCATTTTGGTGCAGCTCGCATGCGTGATAATTCTTAACGTGGCGAATTACTCCGCTTACACTGCCTTTGTTTGGAGCCAATTCCTAAGAAGACAAAGTTTATTGACGCTTGCAGACGTTTATTATAGATTTAGTGGATTAAACAAATGCCAGAAGCGAGTATGTTCTCAGTCTCCCGTCTTCCGCTCGAGTGTCGCTACCAAGTCCTCGAGTGAGAGAAGATACTCTTTAACCTATAGTGTAGGCAAACAGGGTCACATGCACACCACAAATAAACTCGATCTACCACTAAGAATATCAGTTTACTTTTCAGTGTGGGGAATTATATGTCTGCTTCGAGCTAACCACTCGTTGACGTAAACTAACTGAAGTTGCTGAACTATGTCATGGGTTTCTGACCTTCGTTTTTTGATGGAAGTTTGTATGAAAACTGGATTAATTCCCTATTTACTGAGGGATTCTTGCATAGATTTCGTAGCAAAGCATTAAATTGACAAATACGCGATGCTTGACCTGGCAACAATCTCACGTGTAATTTAATTCCTTTCGGCCGAGCCTCGCTTATTTTGCTCATCATCGGTTTTAGAACGTATGTTGGCCGCGTCGGTATAAGATATCTATAACTTCGAGGTGCACAAAAACTCGAAATGAATTTAGTTGAAATTTGTTGAGACTTTGGGTCAACTCACTCGTTTCAGGTTGTTTTGTGGGTTGTCGTCAATGACAACTTGACCATCTGTCTGAATGCTTGCTAAAATATTGTGCAGATTCCTCGCAGATCTTATATGGAATTATTTTGTGATTTTTTTAAACTTACACCTTCAAGACACTTAAAATTTTGTTGTTTTTTGCTAGAACCTCTTGGGTGGCATTCCATTGTCCTTCACGTTTTAGTATTTCGGATTGAGTCGCGCTATAGCTGCGCTGGAGCGAAACAACACAATTGGTGCTCTCTAAGACGTCTTCCGTTTTTTCCTACATGCAAATAATTGTGGTCAACGGCATATATTACGCATTTTTGCATAAAAAGCGCTCGTCTAAGGTCTTCAATTATTTCCTGGCTTTCCAATTCCTTTTCTTTGAGTTCCTGCAAATGTTAATTTTTTTAATCACTTACAACTTTCAACGCCTTAAGAGCTTCTACCCTGTTAATAAGGTCGCCGATCTCACCGTATCCTTCAGATGCTGCCAAAACTGATGAAAGATATGCGAAAAAGATGTTGTAATATTTCAGACGTTTCTCAAGTGTCTTCCGCTTGTCTATTCTGCGAGCAAGTGCTAGTCTCGTCCTATTTAAGTTACGTGGGAAGTCAGGAAAACCTTTGGATCTCTTCAGAGAGGATCTTGCATTTTGCTTCCTCAGCCTGAACTTTTTTCGTCGCTCTTTCTCTCTTTTGGTCGTTGTCCCTGAGAAACCCATCGAACTTTATTAAGGACATCTCAAGTTCCTTCTCCTTTTCAGCCAATTCCTCGAATCCCTTCTGAAGACCTTCGAGTTTGAGACTGTGTTCCTGAAACGCGTTGGGATAAATTCTACTCATACATCCTTTTCATTTGACAGCATCTTGGAAAGTTCATGGTTTTCTCGTCTCTTTAAAAAAAGTTTTGACGCAGAGCTTAAGTATTCGGGCTCATTAACTCGAGGATTTCTTAGTCTAGTGAGCAAATAATAACGGTTTCGAAATTCGGGAGGCCTCTTACGATATTTTCTTTCTTTGGGGCGCATTCATATCTGCGTCACGCCGAGCTCCAGTGTACCCTTCCTTTTGGTGCGGTATAACAAGAGGGATGCCAAACGGGTCCTTAATTGACAGGAGTTCTGAGCCACTGGTCAGAGCGATATCCAGTGACTTTTTTGACGGCGTATGAGAAATCCTGAATAATAAAAGCCCTCTGAAAGATCCTGCTCTAGTGTCCAAAATCGGATGCTGGAGACAGATCGCGATTTCTGAAGACGGAGTGAACTGGGACTTTGTTGAAGTGTCTAACTAATCTGCATCAATTTGTACCTGAATGTCCGAGGGAATTCGAATCTTAACTTGTCATAAGAACTTGCTACTGTATAGTTACGCGTAGTGGTGCAGTGTCCAGAGAAAACCTTCGCAGAAACGAAGGTTCAAATATGACTTTAAATAATCTCTTTATGAAAGGCGTATTTTAGAAGGAATAAAAGGCCCAATACTCTTTTGGAACTAGCCACGGCACTCACAGTCATCTGGATGAATAATGAGTTTTACACTTACACAACTCGTGGAATAAGGGAGTCTTCCGTCAGTCTAGACGCGTACTCACAAGTTTGACCTAGGTTAAATTGGCAACGTAGGCGACCTCATTCAAATTCACAGACGTTTTCACGTGTGAGTAAAGGGCTACTTTCATGGAATAAATATAATATCCATGGAAAATTGCGTCTGGGCTATGCATGGGGAAAGGGACGTTAATCGAACACGGTTGGTCTACCTTGATGACAAACCCTGATGGAATAGAATAGGTTTTTTATGGCATTTATTGGGCGCTGTCAGCCTCCTTAGAAAATAGTTCAATTCAATGTCTTTGAGTGACATCGATTTACTCCCTCCAAAGTCATATTTGGCACATACAAGCCAGAAATATCGGCAACAACGTATGGGAAGTACACGGTGAAGTGGGCACATACATGTTTTCACATATACATTAAAGCTTTTGAGAACTAAGTAGTCACATAATTGATATTTTTGAGGGTGCTTTTAAGGCGATAATCAAATTCCGCTAGATAATTAGACATACAGATCACCGGGTGGGCTATTTCATGGCTCCACAATACGATTTGCTAAGAAATAGTTTTACCCATTCGGTCTTCCTTAGGGTGCTCAGTTTGCAGAGCTGGCTTGGTGGTGAATACAGTAGCGGTCTAGACGAAACCCCCAGAAATGGACACAGTCTACAATCTACGCAAGAAAGAAGGCCTGTGATAAGTCTCTATGCCTTTGCCCATCAGTGGAACGATTGACACGTAAAATACTTAGACCGGTTACATGTGACGGTGAGTAATTTGGCTGCTGTCCCATAAATCCTTTCAAGTGTGATGAAATCCTACCGCGTTTAGGGTTTCTAGGTTGGGATCACGTATTAAGGATACGGCCTTACAAAGATTCCGAAGGCTTTGGAGAAGCAGTCTTCGTCGACAACTACAAGTTTCTATATTTGGATATCTGGAAGGGCACATTCATCACAAAAAATCTTCACGAGGGATCTCTGAACAAATCAGTAAACTTATACGGTTGTTAATTTATGTCTACAGTAGTTGCATCCACTTATTTGTGACGTCAGACATTATGATGAAACGCTGAGACATAAAAAGAGAGATGAGCAGACGGTGAAAAATCCTTTGGACAAAGATTGAATGTAATTTGTGACGTTTAAGGGGAAAAATCTGTTACTCATAGGAGGGAAAATATGCATGGGATTGAGCCGTCCTGCTGATGAAGGCGTATGACGGGTCAGAACGCTCTATGTCAAGGGAGAAATCATAAAACCACAGGACCACTTCCATTAACATACCAATGATCCACACACGCAGCAGAGACCTGTTTCGATTGGGGGAAAGTGAGAGGGTGCGCTTGTTCGGGCTAAACGACAGGAGCCAATAACGGGGTCACTCTTTAAACCGACAGAGGCAGCAGAACTGGCGATGACTTTCCAGATGTCGATATCGCTCGCAATCATGACATGCGCAGAGTCCATTTCCTTTACAAAATCACTCATAAACAAGAGTAAAAGGGTCGAAGACATCACTGAAACTTGTGAGACTTTACTTGGTATGACTGTACGGCCTGATTGCTATTGCTCCACAGAGACGAAGTGAAAACAACTGGCGATGAAATTTTCGACGCATTTAGGAAATTTGACAGTGATCAGGAGTAGTAGGCAAGGGGCAGTATTGACAGTCTTCCTAAAATTAACACAACTGCTTTCACTACAAGTTTTTGTGGAATACACTCGTCCAGCTCTGAACCGTGTATGACAAATTCGATACACATTGTTTTCCCTTACGGAATCCTATTGCGCACTGGACTAAATATTGCGGTCTTCAAAATAACTATTTAATTCTTTTTTGTGGTGTACGCCATGACACTTCTACTGTCAGAGGTAAGACAGACAGGTCTGTATTTGGTTGCAAACGAATGACTATCATTTCTGTGGACAGGCGTAGCGTGTGCTGTTTCACAATGCCTGGGAACAGTCCCCGTATCAAACAATTTCTGGCATAAAAGGAGTAATGGCCTAACCAGCTGTCAAGCAAGTTCAAAGTGCAGTTTTGCTGGAATCACGTCCAGACCAGAAGGATTGTTTTCGTCCGCGTTTTTAAGTGCTTTAAAAATTTCTTTTACCCGAGATGAATTTTAATTAACCTCTCGGGAATAATGATCACAACACGCCCCTGTGGGATCATTCAGCATAAGAAGCCAATCCTACACAGGCAGATTGAATTGCCTTAATTTATTACCTCTGTGTTGTCGGCAGCATAGAGGTGATCTTGTCCCCGTCTATAAGATAGTACATGGCCTTGATCATGGACTTAGCTTTGCGGACATGTTTCAATGCACTTTTTACGCCATATTCGTGGTCAATCGCCGAAGCTACGGACAAAAACGTCCAGGCCGAGTCTTCGTCCTCAATTTTTCACACAAACGTAGTGAAGAAATTGAACGATCTCCCTCAGTCAGTCGTGGAGGCGACGTCCCTGCAACTCTTCAAGAAACGCCTGGATGCTCATTTGTGTCCCCTGTTTTCCCTGGACAGTCTAAACCTGAGCTAAATACTCGGGACCCCCGGAAATTGTTTTCTCTCATGCGATGCTACTCAAATGAAGCAAGTACTGTTTTGATAGCGAATATTTTTATTGCTCGTGTACAGTTATTTCTAACGAGCTGACATAAAATCGGTAGGATTTCAAAGGTCTTGCTTATTATCCTAACCAAATAAACTGAAAAAATATTGTCATCGCTGGCTGAGAACCCAGGTCTAACGAAATACATGGAAGGCGAATATCAGCAAAATGAGAAATAAGTTGTATGTATGCATTGAAAGGTTAGAGGCAGAGCCCTTGATGACCCTCTTTATGTCCAGTGCTTTCGCAGATTCGTAATCAAAAATAAAATAAAATTGCAGACATTTAAAATGTGATTGGGTCACAGTTCAATCGTAATCATAAGGTAGGCCATAGGGTCACTGTAAAATAGTGCGGAAGATTGTACACGAGATATTTTACAAAACTGGCTGTGCATAGTCATGCTGTACAAGCCGGTTTATGTCGAAAACTAGACGATCAAGTATTCTTTTAGACACACAAACTGTGTCAGCCGTCACTATCTCGCTTGGAAGCGAGTTCCACGGCCTGACAATCCGCTGGCTCAATGAAAATTTTCGTCGGTCTAAACGCGTGTGCTCATTCCCGCCTTTGTATGCATGACCGCGTAGTTGGTTTCTACGGGCGTACTCAAAAGAGTCCTATGCTCTTAATGAGCAAACCTGGCCGCGAAAATTCCGGAACATCCAGAGTAGACTGCACTTTAAACTAAATTAAATTAAATGTTTTATTTAATGCCAGTTTACAGGCATTGTCAAGGGAAGCGATTAAACACAAATCCGACCAGCAGTGAAAAAAAAACTTCTGAGCTAAAGGAATAAAAATATAGTTGATGATGGTTTTCATGGTTTGGAGGGCTCAGGAGAAAAAAAAACTGCTGGCGGTAGATTTTCGACCGTCAAGAAGGGGGGGGAAGGGTTGCACGGTGTCGGAGATTATCGGACGTCAAATTCCTTTCATGAAGTTGGGGATAGTCCAAGTAGAGGCGTTGAGGAACAGCTGGTGAGACCGGCCATAGTGTTCAGAGACCACAAAAGCCATCGCTACG